CAGGGGAAGTGCAGCAGGAGAAGACTCGGAAATGTCCCACGCTCCAGGGATAAGCTGAGGTTCCTTAGGAGACCTAAGATTTGGACCTGCACAAATTTGCTGCCAGACTGAGCCAGCTGGGAAGGTCAGACTTGTTGAGCCTCAAGAAGAAACTGTTGCCTTGACAGACTTTCAAGTTAAGCCCTCCAAATTAATAAAAAAAAAATACGTTTGTGTGTATACATGAGCTCCCGTTTCACATTCCCAGACCATCCTCATCCTTATCCTTCCTCTGCAGTCCCTGGGCTGTCTCGCATCCTCGTGCTGTGGCAGAGCCAGGGCCAGGGTCTCACCGCACTGTGACGGCTGGTGGGTGCCTGCAGAAAGCAGAAAACGGCTCTTCGGTGCCTCCACGAGGGCTATTTTTGTCCTGGCACCGATCCCAAATTTACCAGCTGGGCGTTTGCTGTCTGCTGCCACAGAAACTGGGTTTTCTGTGAATTCCATCTTGCTGCTCTCCTCTCTGCCCTGTTTGGGTGCGAGTCTCTCACTTTGATTGTTAGCACTTTTGTGGAAAAAAAGTTTTTCTCTCCTAAATGAGGAGAGGCCCCATTTTCCTCCAGCCTCCCTGCAGAATTCTCCTGCAGAGAGAAAAACCTCAGCAACTTCATCCTCCCTAGACATCAGGGAATCCACACCCTCAGGGCACAGATTCCTGGGAAACTGCGCTTTATTTTTCACCTGCTGGACCTGCTCCCTCCCTTGTTTGCAACCTGAAGGCTTGAGGAGAAAATGAAGGCTTTAGAAGTGAAGTAGAGCAGTAATAGCTCATGGTCACTCAGTCTCTTGCAGGGCAGAATTATGGCCAGTGACAGCAAGGATCTCGAATCTGCTTTTGTTGTAGTGTTGAGGTATTTTAGTCAACGCGGGAGATGGAGAGAGATGGATCCGAAGGGATGGAGAAGGTGGCACCACGGAGGTGTTAGAACATGCTGCTGGAAGGCTTGGGTTCACGTGTGTTGGAAGAGAAGAAAGTTGTTCCGTCACCTTCATTGTGGGTAGGTCCTAATCTTGACATGAAGCTGGAGGCAAGAGCCCCACAAACTCCCCAAACAAATGCTTTTTGGAGAAGGTGACTGAAATGAAGAGGAGCCTTTCTGGAAGGGGTGTCTTAACCAGACACCCGTGCTGGGTGTAACGTGAGCACAGTAGCTCCTGCTACTGCATTTCCCACCTAGCATGCACTAAGGTGATCCAGGAGCCCCGTCCATTCTTGAAGTCTGGGAATCGGTGAACGCTGGATAAGGATGAGCTACGCTGGAGCAGAAGGTAGGACCGGAGACCTCCCGTGGTCCCTTCCAGCCTCAGCTACCCGGTGGTTACCTCACATTCCTCTGATCCACAAATAGCAGCAGATCTTCCTCTTCCTTGCACCGTTGGTCACTGCATCTTTGAGCCGGGATACACGGGACTGGGTTCACAGCCGCGGGCTTTTGGCTGCTGTTTCCTGAAGCACCTGGGCAGAGCAGGGTGACCCGCGCAGGCGAATGGCGTTTGCAGCAGGGAGTGGGGAAGAAGCCACAGGAGGAGATTAAAGATCAGCAGTGGGTTTTCATTGGCCGTCTCAAAACGGAGGCGCTGCGATTACGGCTTCGCGTGGCCCACAAATAGCCCGGCTTTCCTCCCGCTCGCTCCTGCTGCGAGCGCGGCGCTGCTGCAGAGAGCAGGGCCTCGCACCTGGGGCACAAGGCTGCGAAAGCAAAAGGTAGGAATTCGCCGCTTCCCGATGCACTTTGGGTGGGATGAGGGGTTTGTAACTGCTCCGGGCTGGTCCGAATTCCCCTTTTCCTACCGGTGCTTGCTAAAGGGTAGAAGAAATTTTGGAGAGCGACAGGAAAATTCCTTGTTTTAGCACCCCGGCCTGGTGCTTTGGGTGGCTCCTCTTTTCCGAGCAGCAGCTGAGCTCCCCCGTTCCGCTTCCCAGCAGCAGGAACCTGCGGATCAGGAGCCTCCTGTGCAGGTGGGCGGCCTGGAGGGATTAGGCTGCCTCGACCCGGGGCTGCAGAGGGTTTAAGGCTCCTCGGGAGGCGATTTGCGACGCCGGGGTCACATTGCTGAGGTCTCATTTGAAGGCACCGTGCTGCTGGGGCGAGGTTAAAGTACCACATTCCGAGGGGAATATGTATTTCCTTTAAACAGGAAACGAGACCTGTTTGATTTGTCACCTCTGTTTTAAAAGCTGCTGAATTGATGGATGACTGGCCCCACCATATTCTCTGTGCTCAAGCATGGGTTTTTTTTTCCTTTATTCACACGTTAATCATTAATTCTTCCTCCCCAGAGAGGCGAGTGCAGGAAAATACTCATTCTTCTCTTTCGGGGTGAAGAAACAATTGCAGAAAAGTCTGCGTGACCTGAGGCTGCCTTTAGGAGAAAGGACCTTGAGGAGAAAATATTAGGGCTTTCTTGCTTGCAACGAGAGACCTCAGGCCGGAGTCACCATGGCCAGGTGTGGCCGTGTCCAGCTGGGATTCATTTCCCAACTCCTTGGCTCGTTTGCAGGGCTTTGAGGTTTATTTCCCTTTTACTGCACATCTAACACTCGTATTTAATCCAGGTGGACTGAAACAGGACCTTTTAACCCTCTGTTGTAGCTCGGCGCGTTGCACTGAAGTCCGGTCTCCTCTTTGGGTCGTGACCGCAGTCGGTGACCTGTTTTCTCGTGGTCTTTCTAACCAGACTCGTGTTTTTGCTGTCTCTGCAGCCATGCAGGGGCCGAGGCCGGTGGTTCTGAGCGGCCCGTCGGGCGCAGGGAAGAGCACTTTGCTGAAGAAGTTGCTCAAGGAGTACGAGAACGTCTTCGGCTTCAGCGTCTCCCGTGAGTAGCTGGGGTCACGGGCGAAGGGGAGCCCCAAAACCCCATTTGGAAGCAGTGTTTGTGCCCCAGATCATTTGCTTCTGTGCCTGCATCCTAGTCTGTCTGGGTTCTCTGAGGTGCTTGAATAAGTCAGGCCTTTCTGATACTAGTACCAAGAGGCAGCTGCAGGATTTGGAGGCACCTTTAGAGGTCCAGGGAGTCACCACATCTCTGAACACAGCTCAGAACAAGGAGATTTTTTCCAAGTGATTCCTGACTCAGAAAGTAACCAAATCCCAGAGAAGACCTGCCTCAAATCCAGGTCTTTCCACCCACCTGTGGGTGCCAGTGAGCACTCAGCACCACCTGGGTCCTGCTTAGCACAGTCACAGTCTCTGGTTTTAAAATACAAGCCAGGTAGGACCCATCTGGTAGTCAGGCCAATGAGCGATGGTTCCTCCCATTATCTACTTCCATTCACATTCCTACTTTTTATTCATTTTCTACTCTGATTACCAAGCTCTGGCCAAGGGTCCTATTTTCCTACCTGAGATATTTTAATATCAAAATAGCTGACTTTGTGCTCTCACACTGGCTACCCCAAATGCAAATGAAATCCTTGCATTGAGGTCTGTGAGGTCCATTTTTTTTTTTTTGTTAGTATTTCATCCAATGTTGTTAATTCAGCAGCATCTTTTAACAGAGTTCACCCTGAAGTAAATCTTGCTTCCTCAAGTTGCTTTTTAGTATCTATTTTTTTCCCTAAATCTCCATAGATCATTTGGACCTTGGCAATTAACACTTTATAAAAGCTAAGAGGTGATCAGAGCCTTCTCGCATGAGGTTAATTCCCACCAATCCTGAAGAAAACTGTGAGTGTTGCCTCCTGAGCGGCTGTCAGATCTTGTTTGGTTTGCACATCATAAGCCTAAAATAGTACAAGTTTGAATGACTTCCAAAAGGCTTTGTGGGGTGCCTGATTTATTCAACCACCTCACCTAGGAGTTTGCCCTTATTCAATAAATCTGGCTATTTTAAGCACTTATGTAGGCGCTGCTTGAGCTTTTGCAATGAAGATAACTTATCAAAGTAGGGCATTGCTAATTCTAATTGCTGCACCAAGCTAGATATTTGAATAATGCTCAATATATTGAATAATGTGAATAATTTGAATCTGTTGAATAATGTGAATAATTTGAATTGCACAGGGAAGTCTGTAGCAGAGTAGAAAATTAAGCCTGACCCTTTAGCTCCCAAACTGGCCACTCTCGATTGCTTTTTTGTATGTTTTTTTTCTTTTCAGGTTATCTTGATTCACACCTTTGATTCCAAGTCTGTTGTTGTGTTTTACACTAGTTGTTTTCAGAAGCTTTGATCATTTTGAAAGAGGATCAGCCTTTTATGTGAATGGGTTTATCTGTGTGGGTTTTTTATTTCTTTGATGCTATTATTTCCTTAGTTGATTTGCAGAATTTACCAGGGCATCTTTTGCTTACAGATACCACAAGGAAGCCAAGACCTGGAGAAGTCAATGGCAAAGGTCAGTGCACTGCAATTGGGCCCATATGAGACTCAACAAATTATGGTTCTGAAAATTTAAGTCGATCTTTATGAGAAAACTGCATGAATACCCATTTACAGAGATGATAATCCTGCCTCTAACCAGAGTTTTCAAAGTGGGGCTCTCAAATTAAGCTCCCTAGTCCATACCTGGGCTTTGAATGACTTGGTTTTCTGAAGTGCCAAGTATCTCGGGTTAGATATACTAAATACTTGTTTTTTTGGGAAATGCAGCTGCTTAATGA